AGGAACTGGAGTTATAGATGGCTGTGAGTTGCCATATGGATGCTGGAAACTGAGTCCAGGTCCTCCACATAGTATGCATTAAAATGGGAGGATTTGGCTAATTACAAGTAGATGGCACATGATATTGTAAATAATTTTTCTGTTATTTTACTTAACTTTATGTGTATTGGTGTTTTACTTGTATGCATGTCTGTGCAACATGTAAGTGCTTAGTGTCCAAAGAGGTCAAAAGGCATATCCCCAGGAACTGGAGTTATAGATGGCTGTGAGTTGCCATATGGATGCTGGAAACTGAGTCCAGGTCCTCCACATAGTATGCATTAAAATGGGAGGATTTGGCTAATTACAAGTAGATGGCACATGATATTGTAAATAATTTTTCTGTTATTTTACTTAACTTTATGTGTATTGGTGTTTTACTTGTATGCATGTCTGTGCAACATGTAAGTGCTTAGTGTCCAAAGAGGTCAAAAGGCATATCCCCAGGAACTGGAGTTATAGATGGCTGTGAGTTGCCATATGGATGCTAGAAACTGAGTCCAGGTCCTCTGCAAGATCAGCAAATGCTCTTAACCTTTAAGCCAGTGGTTTTCAACCTTCCTAATGCTATGACCCTTCTTCATGTTGTGGTGACCCCAACCATACAATTATTTTTGTTGCTACTTCATAACTGTAATTTTGCTACTGTTATGAATTGTAAATACTTTAGGAAATGGAGGTTTGCCAATGGGTTGTGACCTACAAGGACCACTGTTCTGAGCCATCTCCAATCTAATTTTAGGACTGTTAGAAGTAGCAACATCACCAGCAACTCTCTGAGACAAAACAATAGCACAATTTACTATGGTTCTATGCGGCGTGTGACTTGCATATATGATTGTTGAATATGAGTGAAGGCATGTGAGTAGCTAATTGAAACAAAAGATGCATTAAGCACATTTACATTCTTTAAAATATCAGAAATAACCACCATTAACATTCATGAGTAACCCACCAGACACATTCATAGTTTTCTTCTGTGGTTAGTGTTCTTCAGTCAGAGCCTGAGAACTATTTTAAAATCATCTATTTCCACTGCATAATTTCCCAAGTAAACAGGCATCCACTAAACATTCCCAGAAATATTCTCACACTTCACTGTGTGAGTGAGTGGTATTTCATTGCATGTCCTTCCGTGGAACAGATAGTGCCTTTTCTATAAGCTTTCTCTAGGTAGAAAAATCACCCCAGAATTTGATGGCTTCACTAAGGATGGTAGCACACACCCATAAGCCCAGCTTTCAGGAGACTGCAGCAGGAAGATTTAGTCAGAAGCCAGCATGACTCATAATCCCCCGAGTTAGCTGGGAAAGCTAGTGGTCTCTTCTCTAGGACTAAATTTGGCACTGAGGCTGCAGAATCCCTGACACCACCTCCGACATAAAGCTCCTTTAGCTTCCACATGGAGAGTAACCATGCTACAATGGCTCTGACGCTGTGCTCTTCCCCAGGTGACTCTATTTTACAGAAGGTAGTCTGCCCCATCATGAATGGAAATGATGAGGCAGAACGATGCTGTTGCCGGTCTCTGTGTGTAGACAAAACCACCTGTTCAGCACCAACCATAAGTTTCCATTGACAAATACTTTACTCAGCTACAAACTTAGCAAAGTTGACTGAGAACATATGGTGTCTTAGTCACTGTTCTACTGCTGTAAAGACACACCATGACCAAGGCAACACTTATTGTCTTAGTTAGGGTCTCTATTGCTGTAACAAAGCACCATGACCAAAGGCAAGTTGGGGAGGAAAGGGTTTATTTGGCTTACACTTCCATATTGGTGTTTATAATAGACAGAAGTCAGGACAGGAATTCAAACAGGACAGAAACCCTCCCCCATCAATCACTAATCAAGAAAATGTCCTACAGGCTTGCCCACAGCCCAGTGTTATGGAAGCATTTTCTTAATTGAGGTTCCCTCCTCTCAAATAACTTTAGTTTGTGTCAAGTTGACATAAAACTATCCGGTACACTTATAAAAGAAAGCATTTACCTGGAACTTGCTGACATGGCAAGGAACATTGCGGTACACAAGCAGACAGGATGTTGGAGAAGGAGCTAAAGAGTACTACATCCTGATCTTCAGGTGGCAAGGAGAGAGAACCCACCCCAAGTGACACACTTCTTCCAACAAGGCCATACCTACATTAAGAAGGCCAAACCTTCTAATCCTCTAATGCTTTCAAATAGTGCTACTCCCTGGTAACTAAGCATTCAAATATATGAGCCTATGGGGGGCATTCTTATTCAAACCACCACATATTTACAAATTAAAACTCTATCAGAAAAGCCAGGGCTGTGAGTTTATCAAGCACACCAGATGAATGAAAGATGCCATACCTTCACCTAGATCCTCCGAAGTGGTGAGACCTAACATTTCAGTGGCAATGGCACCATTGAACTGTCATCTGATCATCCAGAAAGTGTGCTCAGGACCCACAGATAAAAACCTTCCAGAGTCCCAGGGCTTCAGTTCAGCAGTGTCCTTGCTCCTTGATACAGCTCATTTAAATTGCCATCCATCTAGCCAGGCGTTGGTGGTGCACGCCTTTAATCCCAGCTCTCGGGAGACAGAGGCAGGCAGATCTCTGTGAGTTCGAGGCCAGCCTGGTCTCCAGAGCGAGTGCCAGGATAGGCTCCAAAACTACACAGAGAAACCCTGTCTCGAAAAACCAAAAATTAAATAAATAAATAAATAAATAAATAAATAAATAAATAAATAAATAAATAAATTGCCATCCATCTGTTCATCCAGACCTGGTAATGAGGATGCCTTCACAGTCCTGAGTCACACCAGCTTTATTAGGCAAATCTCCTGGAGAGCTCCAACTGGCTTCCTTAATATCTGCTCCCACTACCTTCATCTGTACCAGTGTTCTGCCTCAGCCTGCAGAATTCCTCTTTAGTCATTTGTAGCCACCCTGTAAGACAAACACACAAGCATACATACACACACACGTTTTTCTATCCTCCATAGACACTGTACACATATCCATAACTTCCAGCTACTTTTCTTCATTCTTTATTGACTCGTATTGCTACAATTCAAACTTATACTCTCATCAGCTAGAAATTAAGCAGCAAGAACTCAGTGATACAAGGATTCATCAAACAACTGAGTAAGTAAATAAAGCCAAGTAAACTAGAAAACAAAAAGTTTAGGGAATCAATAACCTGTGTGTCTTAGAATTCCTACTGCTGTGATAAAATACCATAACAAAAGGAAACTTTGGGAGGAAAGGGTTTATTTCATGTTGCATTTCCCAGCCACAGCTCATCACTGAGGGAAAGGCAGGAATTGATGCAGATGCACGGAGTGGTGATGCTAACTGGCTTGCTCTTCAAAGCTTATTCAGCTTGCTTTTTTATTGTACCCAGGACCACCAGCTCAAGAATAGCACTTCCCACAGTGGTCTAGGCCCTCCTACATCTATCAAATAAGAAAAGGCTCTGCAGGCTCACCCACAGCACAGATTGGTAGTAGCATTTTCTCAACTGAGGTTCCCTTTTCCCAAATGACTCTACTTTGTGTCAAATTGGCATAAAACTAGCCAGCACACTGGCCATTATTGATGCTGTCATTCTTGAAATGTTTTTTCTGGATATGCAAAAAATGCCTATATGTTTTAATGCACATTTTTAAGGTTACTAATAATGGTTCTATTTAATGGCCATTTGAACAACATACTGTCCCTAGTCCTTTGAGATAAAGTCAAAGCTGAACTGTGTTATGGAATATTATCTTAACTATGTAAAGATGTGTTATAGTTGTCCATGCTGTGGAATATTGCTTTAACTGTGTAAAGATGTATTACTTTTGTTTATGCTGCATTTGTTTATTTATGTAACAATGTGTGTTTAATTATGAAAAGATGTGGAGCATCTGTTTCACCTTGCCTGCCTAAGGTACCTGACTGGTCTAATAAAACGCTGAATGGCCAATATCTAGTCAGAAGAGGGATCTGTGGGGATGTCAGGCAGAGAGAATAAGTAGAAGGAGAAATCTAGGCCTGAGAAAAGAATGAGAAGAGAGAAGAGAATGAGGGAGAAAGAGAGAAATGTCCAGCTCAAGAAGCCAGGCAGCTGATAGCCAGCCAGACATGAGAAGCAGTGAAAGTAAGATAAACAAAAGGAAAGTAAAAGCCCTGAGGTAAAACATAGATAAAGAGAAACAGGTTAAGTTATAAGAGCTAGTGAGAAATAAGAAGCTGAGACAAGGCCAATTATTCATAACTAATAAGTCTTCCTGTCTTGATTTGGTAGCTGGTTGGTGGTCCATAAGAAAAAGCCTAGTATAGAAAGAGTTTTTCTACATATAAAAATTTGTTCTCATGAATGAAATCTTTAACATATATCTCTAGAATGAGAACTCCTTGATAAAATAGTTCACTTAAAATTTTGATAATTGTTGCATTAATGTCTTCCACAAAATGGCAACTACAATTTTGTCCATCAGTGGATGTGTTAGTCATATTGTCCTTTGTGACAAACAAAAGGAAGGAAGATTTTGGCTCACATTTTCAGAGGTCTGATTTCAACGTCTTCTGGATCTGTTGGGCCTCAGTCATAATGAGACAGCATAGAAGAGCAAGGCGGCTCACTTCCTTGAGGGTCAGCAATCTGGAATAGGAACACCTGACCTCAACTGAATTTCTTCTCTTTCTCCCTTTATTCTGGCCGGTGGGATGATGCCACTCACAATCATGGTGGGTCTTCCACTGTTAGACTTTGGAAACCAACATGCACAGAAGCGTGACTCGGTCTCCTAGATGATTCAAAATCCAATCAAGTTGACATTTGTTGGAGGTTACCCCGCTTGGACACCCCTTGGAGGAGAGGTCAGAAGACACAGCACCAACGACTAGGCACTGGGAGTCAGTGAGTAGCAGAGCATGCTGCAGACTCGTTTATCAAATGAGTCAGACCTGCCTTTATACCCCCCTCCCTAGGTCCTATTGGCTCAGGTGCTGACTCTGTTGAGTTGTCCTTTCTCATTGGTGTCTCTGGGTCAGGTGTCTCTCCATCAGCAGTCTCTGGGCGTCCAGACAGGCTTGGTGGCTTGGCTCAGGGAGGAAGTGCCTGCTGCACATGCGCATGCTCCTGGGTGCTGGCCTGGGCAACAGAGGCAGGGCGATTGCAGTTTGGGTAGGCTGGCCACAGTTTCTCCTACATATCCACCCCCCACCCCTCCACCCCCCCCCAACCTCTGCTTTGTTTTTCTAATGTGGCTTAGTGGGAGTCAAAGTTCTAGCTTTGGCCTGTTGTCCCTGCCTCGGAGAGCATCCTGCATGATGGACAGTGCCTATCTTAGGTTGGCCTCCTCACAGGTCCTTACCTGTCATTGACTACCAACTCTCGCAAGATGACATCTCTGGGAAGCACACCCTGGTGGGAGGAGTGCCTGTTAAACTGATGCCTTAGGAATTTCTGTGGGTCGGGCCCAAGAGACCTCTCAAGGAGAGCCACATTCTGGGTGTTGAAGTGCCAGGAGAACCTGGAATGTGGAAATACACTGTAGGAAACACTTAGAATTAGTAATAAGACAATACCCCAATCAAAGCATAAGGAAAAGGGGGTCATTCCTGAGCCATGCTTTCAGACAAGAAAGAGCACACTTATCCAGAGATCAGGCTCCCATATGTTTTCGGGAGAAATCCGGGGGGCCAACACCACAGCCTCATCCCAAAAATACTCCAGATCGGCAGTCTTAACCTTAAGGCACCTGGTAACCAATATTAATTTTAATACCTTCACCTGAGGCTCCTTACAATGGGAGGGTTAAGTTCCACATTCTCTTAATGGCAGGAGACACAGACTGGAACAAAGTCTAAAACAAAGATAGACTACAACAAAACAGGAAGTGTGTCAGACCTAAGTGTAGTAGATATTCCTACCTAATGCACCAGGGGTACCAAACAGACACAAAGCAAAAGACAGAATAGGAGGGTCCCTACACTCACCTTCTCGAGGACCATAATGGATAGGAAGCAAGGAGGGGCCAACTCACCGAACAAGTCATGAAGAAGGGGTGCCGAAACACACTATGTTGAGTGAAGAGGAGTCCGAAGGATGAAGATAGATAAAGTGAAAGTTCACCAGCGTAGGATCCGACAATGCACCACCAGCAACAAAAGGCAAAGATGAAGGTCTAAACAAAAAAACAGCCACAGTGATGGAAAAGAAAAATACACCCTGATTTAAGCGGGGCTGAGACCCATGCCAGCAAGGGATCCACAAGCCCCAGGTTTAGACTCCAGATGTTGCAGGTTACCCTGTTCGAACACCCCTTGGAGGAGGTGGGTGAGAAGACAGTACCAACCACTCAGGCACTAGGAGTCAGTGAGTAGCAGAGCACGCTGCAGACTTTATCAAGTGACTCAGACCTGCCTTTATACCCCCTCCCAAGGTCCTATTGGCTCAGGCTGCTGACTCTGTTGAGTTGTCCTTTCCTCATTGGTGTCTCTGGGTTAGGTGTCTCTCCATCAGTAGTCTCTGAGCCTCTAGGCAGGTTTGGTGGCTTGGCTCAGGGAGGCAGTGCCCACTGCACATGCTCAATGCGCATGCGGGCTGGCCTGGGCACTGGGGGCAGGGCAATTGCGGCTTGGGTAGGCTGGCCGCAGTTTCTCCTATAGACATTGAAGATGAAGCATCACAAAAACCATTTATGCAAGAACTTCTATCATCTTATAAAACTAAAATTCTCTACTTCTTAAATAATAATTCCTGATAGTCCCACCCACATGCAACCACCATTTTCCATGCCTGTGAATTTACCACAGTAGGCACCTCATATAAGAAGAGTCTCGCAATACTTGTTGTTCTGTGGCTTCCAATAAATCCTCTCTTCAGGAGATGATTTTGAATAAATACAGGAGTACTGTGAATAAAGAAAATATTCTAGGACTAGTGGTGTGGTTCAGCACATAAAAATGCATATACAAGTCCAGAGACCCAAGTTTGATTCCTGTAACTCAAGTAAAGGTAGAAGGAGAAAAGAGACTATACGAACGTATCTTCTCACCTTCACATGTGTGCTGTGGCACGCACATACATGCATGAACACATACATGCTACTTCTAATGACAATAAAATTAAAATTAAAATGATTAATATTAGCACACTATGTCTCAATTCAAAATATCATGTTTGTTGTCCTAAAAAGTCAATGGTTTTGATTTTATAGCCTGTTGGAGAACCCTGCTATCAAGGTTCAAGTCTGCCATGTCCAGATAGCTCTCTGAGTTTGGCACAAAATGAAGGACTCCCTTTCTCGGTGGGGCTCTCTCTTTTCTATCTAACCTTAATTGGAGAGAGTCTCTGAGCTCAGATGCCTGACCTTATTTGGAGGATCACCCTGCACAGAACTCCCTGCAAACGCTACATGGCTCAGCACCTGCTTAAGTCTTGCTTTCCTTCGGCCCATATGATAATTAGGTGCTGTTTTATGACCAATCAGCCCTTCCCACCCATAACCCTTATATACCTTGCCCCTGGAACAATAAAATGAGCTGTTTCTCTGAAGCTGACTCCCAGAAGCTCCCTCTGTCATATTCCTGGCTATCTGAAACCTGCTCGCCACCTCTGCTCCCTTCACCCTTGTGAGCCAGTGGCCAACAACTCCTGAGGAAGAACATGGTAGAAGCTAAGAGTCATCCAACATCACTCCTTTTGGGTACTGCAAAGAGTTTGGAAACCTGTGGACATCCTAGGCTCACTGCAAAATGTCATGTTCACTGAGTTTCTCCACTTCATTAAACATCAATTTTTTTCAAGTTGGCTGCTAAGCAGTGGGAAAAGCCAGTGACTCCATGCTGTGGGTAGAGCGCACAGTTTTGATAACAGTCTTCCGATTCATATATCCATCGCTTCCATTTGATGCACCAAATGCTTCTAAAATTTACATCAATAATTAATTAATAGTATCGCTGAGTCTTTGTTGTCTGTTGAAATGTCTTTGGTAACAATTTTAAATAGAATTTTTAGATAAAATCTTCCCTTTATAGCCCTTTAAAAAATGTTTTGACTGATTGTCAATGTTCAACTTAAATTATTTCATTTAATCATTTACTTAATATGAATACACATAAGCTTAGATGCCAAAAACACATGCTGGGGGGGGGAAGCATATTCAACAATTGGTGCTGGGAAAAAGAGTTGGCCACACACAAAAGAATGAAATTAGACCAGTATCTATGACCTTGCACAAAACCTAACTCCAAATGGATCCAAGACCTAAACATGAAGCCTGAAAACACTGAAACTGCTAGAAGAAAACGTAGGCAGTGTCTGACAGGATGTAGGTTGTAGAGAGCCACTTCCTGAATAGGACTCCATTTGCCTAAGCATAAAGGCCAACAATTGGCAAGTGGGACTTCATAAAACTAAAAAGCTTCTACACAGCTAAAGAAACAACCATCCAAGTGAAGAATAAGGCCACAGTGGGGGAGATAATCTTTGCCAGCTCTACATCTGACAGAGGATCAGCAAACAGAATATATAAAGACCTCAAAAAACAAAGAAAAATTTAAATTTAAACACTGGGCTTGGGATCTGAACACAGAGTTCTCAAAAGAAGAACTAAAAATGGCTACCAAAAAAAAAAAAAAAAAAACCATCTCAAGCTGGACAGTGATAGCACACTCCTTTAATCCCAGCACTCAGGAGGCAGAGGCAGGAAGGTGGATCTCTGTGAATTGGAGACCAGCCTGGTCTACAGAATGAGTTCCAGGACAGCCAGGAATGTTGGTGTTTGCCCCCCGGAAAACTCAAGTATCTGGGGTCCCAGGCCACGACTGCGGTCACCCCAATCACCAGGCGGATTCGAGAGCTTGCTGCAAACTGCACGAGGCTTTATTGTAACTTAACGAGCTAACCCCATGTTAGCTCGGGTCTTTCACCCACCCGCCATGGTGGATGGCTAGAAAAGACGGCTCCTAGGGCCTCCCAAGAGACCTTATAGGACAGCATAAGGGGAGTATCTAGGGGTACACACAGGCTCACGATTGGTGTGCCTCCAGGCTTGGAGGGCTTGCCCTGTGTTGATTGGTCAACTGGTTGTTATGGTCCATAGGCCCTCCCAGGGTGGTTGCTATGCTCTCTAAGTCATTGCTGTGTGCTTGTCCGTAAAGCACACCCAGAGTCATAAAGGAATGTTACACAGAATGTTACACAGAAATCCATTCTCGAAAAACAAAGGAAAAAAAAAAAAACCTTAAAAATGTTCATAGAGAAATGTAAATCAAAACAGCTTTGAGATTTCATCTCACCTCAGCTGAATGGTAGAGATCAACAAAACAACCAAAAACAAATGCTGCAGGTGTTGCAGGGAAAAGGAAACCCCACTCAGTGTTGGTGGGATTGTAAACTAGTGCAGGCACTTTGGAAATCAGGGTGAAGAATCCTCAAAGTTTTAAAAACAAATCTACCACATGGCCCAGCTATACCGTTTCTGGGCATATTCCCAAAGAACTCAAGAACTCCATAAATACTTGCTCAACCATGTCGCTGTTCTATTCACTGCCGGAGCCCTACTTGTATCAGTCCCATACTACAGAGGCTATCTATTCCAGACTGATGTCTTTGTGGCTGAGATAGGAGCCAGTCCCGGGTCCATCCCTGAGTCGGGGGTTGCTGGACGGGGAAACTCCTAGCTACCCAATGGCGATAAAGGTGAGACAGACATCTTGTCATTTCAGGAGGGCTCTCAGTCCATGCTGGAGTCTGGAGTCTCCGGTTTATTCAAACATCCATTTAAATAGCTTTCCAACAGTGGGGGTGACATCAGAAGACATATACTATCATGTATAAAGCTGATATCAAAAATTCTTTTAACCCTAGTGGCACAGCCCTAAACAGTCCCTAGGCACATAAACAAACCTCAGAACAGGTGTGCGCATACCCAGGGCCTAGGTCTGTTGTTATGCAAACTAGGAGACTTTCTCCACGGAGGCCAAGCCATCTGGCTGTAATTTAGCTGCCATCTAAAAGACAATGGGAGATCCGGGCTCCTGGAAATTGAGCAGAGGTTTGGACCCCAAAACTTTATCATCAATAATTTTTGGGCCCTGACAATTCACAATAGCAAAAAATGGAAACAGCCTAAATGTCCTTCAACTGATGAAAAACGTGAAAATGTGGTGCGTATATATGGTGATACATTGTTTATGATGTAATAAGGCCAATGGAGATCAGTTTGCCAAGCTGCCATACTAGTTAGCCATAGAAGCCAGGCAGTGGTGGCACACACCTTTAATCCCAGGACTCAGGATTAAGAGATAGATGGCTCTCTGTTAATTCAAGGATACCCAGGGCTACAAGAGATTGAATCAGTCTAAAAGAATAACAGAGCTCATGCCTTGAATCCCAGGCCCCATGAGAAGTATTTAAGACAGGAACAGGGTTTCAGAGCTGGCATTCATTCTCCAGCCACAATTAGGATAGGAAGGCATATAGTCTATAACCACACTGAGGAGCATAGCAACCTGAGTGAATCTGAGGAGCAGTGAAGTCAGGAGCAGTCTGAAGATGGCCCCTTTGGTCTGAGCATTGGTAGAGGTAAGAGCTAGTGGCTTGGCTGCTTTGCTTCTCTGATCTTCAGCTTGAAGCTTGAACCCCAATATCAGTCTCTGGGTCTTTTATTTATTGTGCTACAAATATATACTGTGAAATACAGTTCAACTGTAAAGAAAAGGGAAATCATAAAAATTGCAGCTACATGATGGAACTAGAAAAGATCATCTTGAGTGAAGTAACCCAGAAAGACAAATGTTACATGTTCTCTCTTACCAGAGGCTCATAGCTCTAAATTTTCAGATGTGAGTACATACCCTGAAATGACTATAGATAGCAGGAAACTAGAAACCGACTATTGGCTGGCTGCATGGGTAGGGAGCAATAGAGTGGGGTATAGCAGTTATCTGAAGGGAGAAATGGGGAAAACAGGGTACTTTAAATAGAGAGTGGGAGGGTAATAAGTACAGAAAGAGGAGGGGGTTAAATAACAATGAGTATCTGAAAAATTCATAAAGAATCACATACTGATGACTATCCATCTAAAATACCTATAATGCATGAAAACCTCTGTATGCATGTATAGTTTAAATGAAATTTAACAATGCTCCCCCAAGAGGCATAGAGTATCTAACAAAAACCCCAACACTAGACATGAGGAGCCCTCTTTTGTTTGTCGGTCAGGGTTGTCCAAGAGACTCCCAAAACATGGTAGGCCATTGCTGCTGCCCTAGGTTGCCCTCAAAGGTGAAAGGTAAGTTCTTATTGCTGAAAACTCCATACACTTTAGACAGATGTATGACCCAGAGGACCTGGCCTGGATCTCATATGAGGCCTCCTCCGTGAGGACCAATTTTCATGGTGCCAGAAGGTGTCATGCAAGCTTCCAAAGAAGGGAAGTAACCAGCAGGTCTTCTAAGCTATGATGTCTCTGAACCACAGTGACACCAGCATGGCCTGATATTCCTAAGGAAGCAGTCACGGGATGCATACTTTGGCAGGACCCAACAGCTCTCTAGTTGGATTTAAGGTCCACTCAACAAGGACTAAGCAGGTTGTGCATGTTGTGTTACGTGCATACACAATAACAACAACAATTAAAGTTAAAGAAGCCATAAATTCGCAAGAGAGCAAGGTAGGAGTGCATGGGAGGAATTGGAGGGAGGGAAGGGAAGAGGTAAATGATGCATTCATGTTGCAATCTCAAAAGCAGAAAAACCATAATTAAAATAAAGAAATAATATGCATTGTGTGTGTGTTTGAAAAAAATGTAAACCTCATAAAAGCCAACTTAACTGTGTAAAGATGAAATGGCTGAGCTGAAATGAATTCACTGGTTTCCCTCAGTGGCCCTGACCCTTGGTGCAGGCTCTTTGGACTCTGTATGGCTCTACTTGGAAGGCTACAGTGGCACATGTGCGACAGCATTCCTTTATCTGGCCAGTGTCTGTGATCCTAGCAGTCACATCATTCACACAAGTCACCTAATTTTCTTTTTACCATCTGTCTCAAGCATAATCCTAACCACCCAGGCGAACACATCCAGTTCAGTCCCAAGATAACTAGAATATTTGACTTTTATGTCATCATTGAGATTAAACAAGAAACTTACAGTTCTTTCAGATAAAAAAAAAAATCCATCCAAGAAATAGTGAGGAAATGGGGAGCTGGTAGCTGGACACCTGCAACATCAGGTACTCAGAGTCTGAGGCAGGAGGATTGCAAGTTTGAGGCAAAGCTGAGTAACATGGCATCACCAGATAGAAGTGGGGAGGAGATGAGGGGAGAGAGAGAAGAGAGAAGGGAGTCCAGGAGGATAAGGGGGAAGGAGAGGGAGGGAGATAGAAAGGAGAAAGGGAGAAAGCGAGGAAGGGAGAAAGTTGAAAGACCTGGAATAAAATGAATGGAGAGAGCACAGTGAGTGGCCCCCAGGCACCAAGTAGTGGCCCAAAGGAGCAGATACAGCCATGACCTTGGCAGAACACAGTGCCCCAGAAGAGTAGAATAGCTCCCACCCTTGTGCACATAGTAGACTAGGAAGGAAGGAGCAGAGCCTATGTGAAAATAGCTGCTGGCTTATAAAGAACCCCCTTTTTTTCCTATCAGTGTTTTAAAACTATTAAAACAACTACATCTTATTGCTTTTGAAGAATGTATGGTTCCAGAGTTTCTAAGTCAATGCCAGAAAGCCCCGAGACCACGATCCAGTGCTCACACTGCTGACTCGAACTTCAGAGTTCTGGGAAACATGTTCTGCAAGCAGTTCTCACTCAGCCTCTGGCCTTGTTTGCTAGCATGTGTTAGCTCCTATAATGTGCTCTTGTGTGAGTGACTCCTGTAGTGCAGCTGTTAGGGACCGGGCTGATGAAACAGCTCACGTATGACACTTCACCTCACATGTGACATGCCATGGCCTTATGCTAGGTGTTATGAGGCATGCTGCATGTGAAATGCCTGACCCACAGCAGGCGCTTGGCATCTCTTGAACCATGGCTGGCCTTTCCAGATCAGGAAGTAAGAACAGTTATTTTCCCATCAAACTGCTGGGGGGTGGGGGGGAGAAGACCAAAAAGCTACCCTTTCACTGGCTGCCCACTAAGGGATATATATGGTTTTCCATAATTTCTGGAAACCGCCTCTCCCTCTCCTTTGCTCTTAATATAATGCCCCGTTGTCCTAAAGGGGATGGGAGGAGAGGTGACCATGTGGCTATCTGAAGTGAGACAGCCTGTTACTGTCAGGATTTCATTGCTTTTCCAACTCTAAAATCTAATTTCCTCGGGACTGCATTTCACAGTTCTACATTTATGGCTGGAGTTCCTGGCGTCTCACCCGCCCTACCTAAGCATCACTTAGGTAATGCTTGGACGGAGCTTTGAAGGAAATGGCCCAGAAGTACTAAGTAGAATTACATGATAGGAGTTGACAGCATGACGCCGAGGCAGAGAGAGGGATCCTTCTCCAAGCCTCAGTTCATTTTCTTTACTGGGTTTTTACAGAGCTCTTATGTGTTATGCTGGAAACATGGCAGTAAGTCACCTTTTTATGAGTGATATGTGTGCTGAGTACGGAAAAGAATAACAGAACAGTGGACTCGAAAATGTGTGTTCCGTTGGGTAAAATAAAGAAAAGTAGCAGAAATTAAGGGTTTGCCAACTTCCCATTATGCAATGTTTAAAATAAACAGCAACAATAGCAAAAGATAGAGAATGGTAAGTCAGGGAAGGTGCACATAGGGGAAATTTCCTGTGGTTCTGGAGAATTGTAAGGCTCTTTCTTAGTCCTTAGGGGAAACTGGCACAAAAATAGTCCTCCATATAGCCATCCACCCATTTAGTTGTCCACTTAAATAAACATTTACTAAATTCCTCCCCCAGAACTGAAGTGCAGAGCTATACCTCTTTAGCAAGCACTGAGGCTTGCTGCAGCAGAGGCTAGAAAGATCTTCCTGTGGAACACAGACAAGGTAATCCTCTGCAAACCAAGGCATGGCTCCCTCATCAGGTGATATCTACTGTCCTAGGGTAGGCGTGGCCATGAGAAGGGGAGGAAGGGATTTCTAAGCCATGAGAAAAAGAATGTGAGAGAGTGACAGGCATGCTGGCTGTCTTAGAACAGAGCTGGAGGAGGCTCTGAGGTGACGCAGAGACCTAGACTTCAAAACTATTGAGCACTGCTGAATTTGTGTGTCCTTCATTGAAAGAAGATGAGTTGGTGTGTGTGTGTGTGTGTGTGTGTGTGAGAGGAGAGAGAGAGAGAGAGAGAGAGAGAGAGAGAGAGAGAGAGAAATGGGCTATGCTCCAATAAAAGAAGCAGATAAACTCATGCTAGGGATTGGGTAAGCACAAAAAGATCCCAACAGTCTGGTGGCATCTATCCTTCAGCATGCCTTGGTATCTCCTCAGTCAGTTTTTCACATTTCTCTCAGTTGGTACCATTTTCCATCCCTCACGTCTAGGTTCAGGAGAGGTCACAGAGGGAGGCATGGGGTTCTGGAGACAGCATTCCTGAACTCAACTTCTAAATCCATCAGTACTAGCCATGTGGCTTTGGAGAAGACCAGGGGTTTACTCCCCTGTAAAACGGGAGGACTATTGTGCAAAAAAAAAAAAAAAAAAAAAAAAATTGACTATCATGCTCCACACAGGGCCTCAGAAGCTGGTAGGTGCTGAAGAAGTAAAAGTGGTTCCCAGGCAGATGAGCTGTTCTGTCATTCCCATGGAAAAGCATGAGGTTCCAGAGTTTCATTTAAAAGGGAGCCAATGTTGCCAGATTCTCTGTGCTTTCTGTGTCCTCTGCAAGACAAAATTATCTCTGTATCATGTCCTCATCTTGATACCATCATCACCACCATGGTCCTCATCTTGATACCATCATCACCAGCATGGTCCCCATCCTGATGGGTACCATCATCACCAGCATGGTCCTCATCTTGATGATACCATCATCACCAGCATGGTCCTCATCTTGATGATACCATCATCACCAGCATGGTCCTCATCTTGATGATACCATCATCACCAGCATGACCCTCATCTTGATGATACCATCATCACCAGTATGGTCCTCATCTTGATGATACCATCATCACCAGCATGGTCCTCATCCTATAGTATATTGATAGAAGAGGTTGCATTCTTACAGTTGTAAGTGAAAATGAAAATTAGTTAGAAGGGAAACCTCAGGCCACAGAGTTTGGGAAAACAAGGAATACCTTAACACAGAAAATAAGCCCACATAGTGGGATTCTTAATAATGTAAGTGGGGACAACATCTGGAGAAAGTGTTTTCCCTCAAAATACCAGAGGGATGCTTCATCTGCTTCTGGTACCTTTTCCTGACCTCATCTTCACTCTCCACAAATTGAAAATTCATATGAAAAGACAGATTTAAAAAGATGGAGTCCAAGAAAGCAAATAAAACAATGACTTACATGGCATGTGTGGAGACACTTAGATAAGGCTTGAACTTCTTTCAGGAGGTTTGAGTCACTGACTGTATATGGAGTAGTAAACAATTTAAAGTCATGGCAATTAATAACATGTTCAAAAAAGGAAATGTAGCAATAGTACATGATGTGTACCTTAATGAGAACCATTTACCTGTGCATATAATTCACTCTGAACACACATCCTTCAAAACTTAGGCTGCAAAAAAAGCAACAGGATGTGTAAAGGGAGTAATCAGATAGGAGGGCAAAGAATAAAAATGCCAAATCTAATCCACACTGCCCCTCTGGACCCACACAGCAGCTCTGTTGCCCAGTTTGACCCACATTGCTTACCTCACATTGCCCATCCACGAGGTTCCTCTCAGTCCAGGTGAGCGCTGCAGTATCTGCAAGATCTCTTGGTGAGTTAGCTAGCTCAAGGAGTCCACACTGGCCACATCCAGGCCCCGGCCTAGCTAGGACAAGCATCCATTTTCACCCTTTCTGAATCCAGCCCAGACTTCAACCTAATGATGCCTATTCACACACTATCCTTCCAGACCCAGGTGGGAGTCACACCTGTGAGCTCACAGGTCTAGCATGACATCTGCATGCTGTCTTGCTGACTCCAGCCCATGCCCCAGATCTGTGCTGACCTCAGCTTTTTCAGAGAGTTGGGCTAGTCTGTTGTCCCGAGCTGCCTTTAACACCCAGGAATAGTTGGTAGCTACACCAGGGGACTTTCTTGGACTTCACCAAGATGTCACACCACTCTAAGATCGCTATGTCACATGGGTTACTAGTAAATTAGAATCACATATTCTCTCTAATCAACATTCAGCTCCTCCTACCTGACCCGAAATGAATCAAGTTCAGACAACATCAGAAACAGAACCAAACTTTCATTCCACATAGGCAGGCTAGAATCTCATATCAAACATACTGCAATTAAACAAATCTACATGTCCAGAACCCAGCACTTTTGGAACTCAGAGTACATTAATCCAGTCTTTCCCAGTTTGTCAAGTTTCCAGTGAAAACTAAGCTGTTAATTTTTTTAAAGATTTTATCTATTTATTATGTATATAGTCTTGTGCCTGCATGCTAACAGAGGCATCAGATCTCATTCAAGGTGGTTGTGAGCCACCATGTGGTTGCTGGGAATTGAACTCAGGACCTCTAGAAGAACAGCCAGTGCTCTTAACCGCTGAGCCATCTCTCTAGCCCTAAGCTGTTAATTTTTATTGGTTTCCCTTTATATGTTACTTCTTTTTCTCTTGAAGCTTTCAATATTCATTGTTTGTTCTGTATATTTAGTGTTTTAATTATGATATGTCATGGGTAGTTTCTATTCTGGCACTTTATTCTGATCAGGGGAAAACTTAACCAAAAAGACATTACAATCCTTAACATATTTACACCAAACTCTGACTCATACAAATCCATAGAAATCACTCTATTGGACTTCAAGACACTGATTAACCCAATTCAGTAATACTAAGTAATTTTAATACTCACTTTGTCATCCGGACAAAAATAAACAGAGAAATGTCAGAACTGAATAACATAAATAAGATTTACCTAATCAACTTGCCTACCTAGAGGTAGACATCTATAGCATATTCCACCCATACCAAATAATATATATTCTACTCAGCAATCCATGGCATTATATCTAGAATACATCACATTTCTAGGATTCAAAACAAATGCCAAAAAATACAGATAACTGAAGTATCTCCATGTATCTATGAAAACATGAAATCATACCAAAAAATGCTAGTAATTACACAAACTTATGGAGATTAAATGACGCATGATGACGGGTCAAAGAAGAACTCAGAAAAGGAAATTTTCAAAATTCCTTGAAGAAAAAGAAAACACAAACACCAAAACCTATGGAACATACTGAAAGCAGAACTATGAGGGAAAGTAAAAGTTCTAAGTGTTTACATTTTAAAAAGCCAAAGAAAAATGAATGGCTTCATAATGCAACTCAAGAGTTTGAAGAGGCCTGTGTGTGTGTGTGTGTGTGTGTGTGTGTGTGTGTGTGTGTGTGTGTGTGTGTGTGTGTGTGTGGGTTTCCATATCACTTTTTACAAAGGCATTTAGTGTTATTTCATCTCTCAGCGTTCCCTCCTTTACCTTGTCCTCGCAGTCTTCATCCTAGTTTAATCCTGCTTGTTCCATCATTCTCCTTTAACACCTCATGCTACTTAACCCTTTATTCCATCTCGCCTATCTTAAAAGCCCCCTCCCATGGGCCCTCAGTAATTTCCTGACCCCCATGGGTATTCCAACTGAAACTCGCATACCTGAGTATTCAAAGCTAACACCCACAAATGAGAAAAGATAGGCAGTGTTTGTCTTTCTGGGTCTAGATTACCTCACTCAGAATGATTGTTTTTTGCTCCATATAAGTTTGATGATTTTGTTCTTCTTAACATCTGAATAATATTACATCGTGTAAATATACCACATTTTCATCATCCACTCGTTAGCAGATGGACATCAGTTGTTCCATTTCCTGGTTATTGTGAATAGAGCAAGAATGAACAAGGAAGGAGGAGCAGGTATCTCCACAGTAAGATACAGAGTCCTCTAGGTGTATTCCAAAGATTGGCATAGATGCTTTATGCAGTAGACCTGCATAAAGCTAGCTGCATTCCTAGCTTTTTAAGGCTCTAATTTCCATAGTGGTTGTACCAGTTTGTACCCCTCTTTCCCCACACTCACACAAGCATTTGCCACGGTTTGTTTTTTGACTCTTAGCCATTCTGACTAGGGTAAGAGGAAGTCCCGAAACCTCCAAGTAGTTTTAATTTCCATTTCCTTGATAGCTTAGGATGCTGAACATTTAAAAAGTGTTTCTCATCGCTCTGTATTTCATCTCTTGAGAACTCTTTTTAGTCCCATACCCTTTTTTAAATTGGCTTATTTGTTTCCTTGATGTTTAGTTGTTTGTTTTTTTCTCTTTGCATATTCTAGACACTAACCCTCTGTCACAAGTATAGCTGGCAGCCTGGTGGTGTTGGAGCACACCTTTTTTAAAATTTTTATTTAAATTAGAAACAAGCTTGTTTTACATGTCAATCCCAGTTCCCTCTCCTTCCCCTCCTCCTCTCCCCCCCCCCCGCAACTACCCATCCCATCCCCTTTCTGCTCCCCAGGAAGGGTGAGGCCCTCCATGGGGGATCTTCAAAGTCTGTCATATCATTTGGGGGCAGGTCCTAGGCTCTCCCCCATGTGTTTAGGCTGAGAGAGTATTCCTTTATGTGGAATAGCTCCCAAAGTCCATTCGTACACTAGGGATAAATACTGATCTACTACCAGAGGTCCCATAGATTTCTGAGGAGTGGTGCACACCTTTAATTCCAGCACTTGGGAGGCAGAGGCAGGTAGATCTCTGTGAGTTTGAGGTCAGCCTAGTTTACAGAGCAAGTTCAAGGACAGCCAGGACAGAGACACCCTGTCTTAAGAAAAAAAATGCAAGCTAAACACTCATACACATAAGATGAAAACAAATTTAAATAAAAATTTAAAGAAGTATAGTTGGCAAAGGTTTTTCCCATTCTGTGGAGTGACAGTGCCTCTTTATTAGAGTGAGTGTCCTTTGCTGTAAAGAAGCATTTCATGAAGTCCCAGTTATTAATTTTTGGCCTTAATGTCTACATTATTGAGGTCCTATGTAAATTGATTCAAGTGTATCCCATACTTTCTCCTCAGATTTAAAGTTTAGGTCTTATGTTGAGATCTTAGACCCATTTGGAGCTGAGTTTTGTGCAGGATGAGAAACAGGATCTATTCCATGCTTCTGTATGCAGTCATCCCTTGTGACCAGCACCACTTATTGAAGGTACTATCTTTTTTCTAATGTGTATTGTTGGTTTCTTTGTCAAAACTCAGGTGACTGTATTATGTATGGGACCTCAATTCTATTCCACTGATCAGTGAGTCTGTTTTTAATGTCAGAACCATGCTGTTTTTATTACTAGAGCTCTGTAGTATAACCTGGAATCAAAGTTATCTCATAACAAGGTGACAATGTCTGTACCAGACACCACATGCTACTTCTTTTGGAGTTGTTAGCCAGTGAAGTCTCAGAGAACTCCAAACATTACAGGCTTTTGCCAATACTCATGGTTATCCTCCAGAACTTGACCATAAGACTTTCTTGTTCAAGACACCACATACTTCAGTCATGGATCATGAAGGAATCAAACTAGTGATGATCTGGAAGCTTCATCAATACTGGCTATCTTTCATTACGCTGAAAGGTGATATGCACTCTACCAGGAGAGCAAAATAATCATCAGTCTTACCTAGTGAGATACATGGAAAGACATGCCCACTGTTGCAACAGTGGCATGAACATGACGGGAGTAACCAATCTGTCTCTGATTGGATTTAATCACTCCACAAGTTGAATCCTTATTTGGGACCATTATCACACTAAGAACCTATGGCTAGACAGGTTCATAGGCCCTAAGGGAGAACTGATTATTATTATTTTTCTAACTTACATATTATTATACCAGCTCCTAGTGACTTATCATTATATCCGTGTATCAATGCATCTCTCAGTCCTCACCTGAGCAGCTTCTATTTGCAGTAGATGGTGACTAACACAGAGGACTCACAATTGGCCACAGTGCAGAGAATAAGGGACTACAGGATTCGTGGACCTACATGGAACATGTAGACTGAAACACCCTCCTCCCATCACAGGAAAGTTCAGTACAAACCACAGGCTCTCCACAGCTCAGCGTCCAGACATCCTGGGGTTTGAAATAAGGAAACAGAACTGCCCATGACCCAGAGGTACACATTCTCTCCAGAACTAGTTACCTGAGGTCAGTGGCTGAGGCCAGGGAGGTTCTGGTTTCTCTATTGTCTACGCTGGCTGAGCTTGTCCTCAGAGAGAGCAGTGATGTCCACTCGTGCATGCCTGACTCCTTCTGAGGACAAGGTAACTATTTAGAAATTTCATCACACTCAATTCTTTAAAAAGGTCCACCTGCCCTCAAAATTGGAATATGGTTTTAGTGAAAAACAGAGACGGATATAAGGGTCCCACCTTAGCGGGCATACAAGGGGATTTCTGGGGCCTTCTGAACCGGTGCCCATTTCTAAGTCTTCCTCTTGGAAAGCTAAACCTCAGGTTCAGAGCTGGGGGACTTTAAAATCCACTTTCTAAGCTGAAACCCAACTCACACTTGATAAGGTTAAATGTTGAAAGTGAAGGTTGTATTGTTGGCTCTGTGGAAATAAAAAAGGAAGAAAGGGGACAAAGCCAGTGGCTTTACAGGACAAGACTTTGATCCAAAGCAGGTGCATTGTTCCACTCCAAGCTGAGCAACAAAGGCAGCCTTGTATGCCTCCCTCCACAGGGCTCTGTCCTGCTGTGAGGGGAGGGAAGGAGTCAGGGCAGTGTTTTCTGTGCTGTAGGAAGAAAGGGCAATTCATGAGCTGCAGTCAGGGCCTGTCCCTAGGTGTGCCCACAGGCCTGCCTCTGCCAATGGTCGTATTTCACTATAAGCAAAGAAGACTGTGGAGGCCAAGAGTGCTGATGACCACTCACCCACAGCCTCTCCCTGCAGAGAAAAACCGGAGTAGGAGTCGCTGTCTAGAACTAGGGGCCACAGCACCTGGCCCAGAGGTACAGGTTACAGGAAGCTGTCCCTTATGGTGGCATCCAGTAAAAGAGCTAGAAGCTAGTCTGTAGGGAGGTCTTTGGGAGGTCAAAAGATTCCTGGCATGCATGGGGACCTGGGTTCAATCCCCAGCATCCAATTAATGATAATAACAAAAATCATATTTTTTGTATTGTTTACACACTAAAATGTTAACTTTTTTGTATCTTGAATTAAAAACCAGAGCATTACTTTTAACCCCTGCTTTTAAGCTTTTTAAGCTATAACTGCTGGAAACTTTAAAATATGGCTTAGTTCACATTATGCTCTGGCACTGTCAACTAACTGTCCTTTTG